ATATATATATATATATATATATATATACAGGGTGTCCCGTAAAGACCGTAACAACGCTTAGGAGTATATTTCTAAAGATAATTCTGAGCAAAAAATCTTAATACCAAAATACTCAGGGTGTAACGGTTTTTGAATTAGAAGCATTTAAAGTTAGCGAATAAGATAGCCGCAAATTTGCGCGCTCAGGTGTGTACAACGTACAGTGATAAAAGCGAAATTGACTGTCGCTCCCCTGTTGTCAGTATTAATATTTAAAAAATAAATTTGCTAATACATATTAACATAAATATTGTTTACGCAATTAAGATTTTGTTGAAAATATTATAAAGAAAAAAATATTATGATACACAAAACGCAAGCTGTCAAAAATTACATTTCTTTGACATTTCTTTTTATTTTACAGATATTTGTACAATAAAATTATTAAATAATTGAAATAGTTTCACAATATTTTATTTTAATAATAGTTAAAAATAATTAAATAATATTGAATATGCAAAGACTCTTTGCGCATAATCTTGAGGTAATAAATGTTGTACCTTTGAGTAATAAAACGCATGCATTTAATTTTTTTTAAATATTTTATGAACCATTGTTTTTGACATTCCAACTTGACGACTAATTTCACGAATACTCATTGTAGGATTTTCTTCTACATTACGTAGCACTTTTTTTTCATTTTACCATAAATGAGTAACATATCACAATATTTTGTACAAATAATGAGTAACATATCACAATATTCTGTACAAATATCTGTAAGATAAAAAGAAATGTCAAAGAAATGTAATTTTTGACAGCTTGCGTTTTGTGTATCATAATATTTTTTTCTTTATAATATTTTCAACAAAATCTTAATTGCGTAAACAATATTTATGTTAATATGTATTAGCAAATTTATTTTCCAAATATTAATACTGACAACAGAGGAGCGATAGTCGATTTCGCTTTTATCACTGTACGTTGTACACACCTGAGCGCGCAAATTTCAGGCTATCTTATTCGCTAACTTTAAATGCTTCTAATTCAAAAACCATTACACCCTGAGTATTTTGGTATTAAGATTTTTTGCTCAGAATTATCTCAGAAATATACCCCTAAGCGTTGTTACGGTCTTTACGGGACACCCTGTATATATATTTCTTAAGTAACTTATTTAAATCCTTTCACAATATGAATATCTTAAAGTAAATATTATATACGTTCGAACAGCAGTATAGCTGGAAAAGCTATCATAATTATTTGTGTGCAAGGATATTGGTATGAATTTTGAATTATTAAAATTGTGACTATAGTTAATAACAGACAAAAAATACAAATGTTTGAACGCATTTTATTTAACTACAGATTTTTTACTTTTGTGCCGTTAAGTTATTAAAAAAATAAAGTATATTGATTAAATTTTGGAGGAGAGTTGAACCCCCCCCCAAACCCCTCCCCCCATATGTGCGTCACTGCATGACACTCACCATACAATAAATTAAGTAGGGATGTTATGGATAGATATAAGTAAAGATAAGTGATAAGTTAGGTTAGGTTAAGGATAAAGTGAAATAAATGTTTTTAATTTTTACATATAAATTGTTAAATTTAAAAAAAATAAATTTTATGAATAAATTTGAAAGGAGCGTAAAGAGCCAACAGCCAGATGTTCGTGCGAAGGTTATCGTGTATTAATTTATAACCATTGAACAATACATTAAAAACAAACGTTTCAGCCTGTCATCAGGCCTTTATCAATGTTATTACAAAAATCAATCAATACGCAACGCAAAAATTAAATACAAAAAACGAAGTAAATTAACATAATTAACCGAAGAGTAGTTAAAACCACGTTAAACTGTAATAAAAAAGAGCCAAATGAGAAATTCCCGTTACAAATTGAGCGCAAACAGAAAAAAGAAACAATTTTTACATACTTGTGTTAAACATAGTAGAAAGCTCATCCACACAAGATGGAACGAGGTAGGAGAAAAATCTTAGATCCATATAATATGATGGTTGAAACCTCAATGTACGTGATAGAATAACGACAAATTCAAGCGATGAAAGATTAGTGAGAGGGCGGTGGAGAAGGGGGGACGGAAAGAAAAAGGAGTATGGAGGGGAGGGTATAAGTACCCAGGAGGGGAAGACAGGAATTAATATATGAAAAGAAAAACGATACAATTATAACGGGGGAAACAAATTAATAATGGGGAGATAAGAGTCCGGTAACCGTTCTGTGTCATTTTGATTGTTCAAGCCTGCACGTTGTCTTTTAATAAACACCATTTCGGATATCAATCTTTTTCCATAAGAAGGTTCTCCGTCCAGAATTCTCACATTATCCCAGTCAAAATCGTGAGAAAAATCTAATTTATGTTTGGATATAACAGAGGGGGAACAGCTCTTTTTGTCATTCTTGTGTTCTTTAATTCTAGTATTAAGCTGTCTTTTTGTCTGACCCACATAAGTTTTCTCACAATCTCGACATGATATCATGCATACAACCTGACAATGTGAAAATTTATTCAAAATGTCTTTGCCCGTCCGTATGAATTGTGTTAGATTGTTAGGAATTGAACATGATAATTTTAAATTGAAGCTTCTGGCTATGGAGTTAAAATCTTTGTAAACAGAAGGAATGTAAGGAATAGTAAACAAAGTCTTGAAGTCATTATTGTCATAAAAATTGTTTGAACAATTACTAATTAAATTAATGTCACTAGATTTTTTATGAATTAAAAACTTAAGCCTATTATGTATAGTCGAAAAAATAAAATTGATAAGAAAACAGTTATTAAGTAGGATATTGATTGCCATTGTAAAATTCTTGTTATGAAATTCAGGATGAGAAAGTAAAAAAATCCTGTCCGTTAAACTTATAATGGTCCCTTTTTTGTGCGATATAGGATGGTAAGAATGATAATTTAATAGTCTACCTGAAGAAGAAGGTTTCTGGAACCAGTCAAATGTGATAGTGTTATTTTTCACAATAAGAGTTAAATCGAGGAAATTAATGCGATTGTCCAAACCAACTTCCACAGTAAACTTTAGTCTCTCATGGTAGGAATTAAAAACGTCACTGATAAAATTTATGGAATTGTTAGGTGCAGCTAAAATGATATCGTCCACATAACGGTAATAAAAAGGTAACCTAAAGGGTAGTCTATCTAACGCACTGACTTCAAGGTCCTGTAGTACTAAGTCTTATTATAGTGTTTTGAAAAGCTGTCGAGATTGACTACAAGAATATGCAATAAAAAATAACGAGTTCCATTTAAGATTTTTATGTTGACCTTGACCGGGCTTTTCAAGGTCATCCCAAGGTCAAATAAATATCATCAGCTAATAGATTTTTTTAAACCCTACTCTTTTTGTTTGAAACATTTTTCCAATAAATCAATATTTTTTAAAATAATTAGCCGTTCCGAAATTTTTGCCACTCAATATAAAGTTGAAATATACACTTTAATTATTTTTTCTGTAATAAATTAGTGTCTGATTTAATTAATCTTTTACTTTAATATTTTTAAAAGACTATTAAGGATTGTATGAAAAAGCGAGAAATTTATTTAACTCACGTCTCGTATTCGTTGTTGTACATATGTCGATGCACTCCTTGCGACGTACGGACGTGAAAAATAAGCCTCATTAGCATGTACACATCAATGCTACGGATAGAAAACACTTGTGTCACCAATGATTCATGACTACGTTTGAACGAAAGTTAGCGAAGCAAACAATAACATGATACGACCGCGATAAGAGAACACTTAAAATGTATTAGGACAATGAAATTTATTGTTTTCCTCAATTAATCGGCCATGAAAACAAAAATGGAAAAACATTGATTAGAAATATATTTGTTAATAGAGATTATGTGAAAATATGCTATATGCTATATACATTTATAAATATATATAGCATGTGAATATATTCACACACACACACACACACACACACACACACACACACACACGCGCGCGCGCGCGCATTTCGTATTTATATCCGTATAAATTCAAAATAAATAATTAAAAAAATATTCAGAATAAATAATAAAATAATTGAAATTATTTAATAATTAAAATGAAATTTATTAACCATTTTGCCAATATTTTAATATATGATTTGAAACTAATGAAACATTATAGACAAAGTTACAACAATTGAATTCGGATGTAATTCATCTCCAAAAGTTTTATTTTCGCTTGTAAATATTACTGTTTTTATTTAAATAGATATTAAAAACGATAAAGAAAAGATGCCAACATATTACTTATTATTGACTCAAACGCAAAAGAAAAAAATTTCTCAGTGTATTTAAAGTTATAAATGACTAAATATGTATTGTACTGTACTTTTGACAAAGATAAGAAAGAAGAATATATCAGAAAAATATATCATATTCTTTTTTGAAATTTGATTTTGCTTCAAATATTGATTTTAATGTCATATATTGTTTGTGTGCAACAAAGTAAGTCTCAACTTTGCTTGTGAATAACTTAAGATTATACAATAATATATTGAATTTTTGCATTGTCATGAACACGATTTATTGCGTAGATCAGCATCGCGAAGGTATTACACGGAGAATTAACAATTTTTATACACGATGATTAAATCATAGAAGATATTAAATTATAGAAGATTGACAACGAAGCGATGATCACTTTGCTACGATCAACTACAATGGAACATATGCTTAATAATAAATAGAAACATGCACATCGTTATACGCGTCTCACATGACGTGTTTCTCATTATATATGTGTCAGCGTTAATTTCGATAACGACTAATAACGTATCGAGCATTCTGATATGTTTAACGTGACATGGTCCGCAAAATTTGTCGCATCTGCTTTTTTGAATTTTATTATATAAATGTAGTACCTTTATTATTAGTAAAATTATTAAATAATTATTACTCATTAAATTAAATTTTATAATTTATACAAATTTTATAACACTTTTTGTGATAAAAATATAATTATTAATAAATTCTCTTTTGTAAAATTTAATTTGTATTGAAAAATTTATTTTATAACAATTAATTTCATTACAATTATAATTACAATAATAAATAAAAGTTTTAACAATTAACAAATGTAAATTGTTTATTAATATTATGTTTCAGTTTATGTTTAAAACAATTTATAAATTTATAAAAATAAATTATAGTAAATTATAATTTAATGAATGATATTCTGCTACGAATTGCACGATCAACTTTGGTGACGCGTCAGCATTTTATATATTTCTGTCGAAGACATATCTAGCTTATGTTGCATTTGTAATTTATCATCAGATTTTCAATTCACAAATGAGACTTTACCTGCAAACTTATGATGCATAATCACTTCGAACTTGATTCTGAGTTAATCTTTCGCATTTGCGAATACCAACTCAATGTTTGCTCGATCTATATGTTGCAATCCCATGGTGATGTCATGTAAACTCGCGGTTTTCGTGTCTGCACTCGCGAAAACAATTTGATGACTATATTCGATACCGATTAATCTGATTAAAACCGTTTCGCTTTGCTTCGTAAGCGTACTGTGTACCACCGTGTACCCGTATACGTGGTCGTTTCGCGTCTCCAGCCTGGCGAACAAATGACAAAAAGTATGTTACAAAGTCGGAACGACGATAGGCGGTCCCCTCCTGTGAAGTTCTACGTCTCTGACTATCCTGCTGAGAATAGTTCCCGGATAAATGAATAATATTTATGCGTTACATTGACAACTTCTATTGAGGACATGGGATTATAGATCTATAATTTTAAGTTCAAAATTAAGCTGTTTATTAAATTCTTTCGATCCTGCACTGCAGTGGTTCTCAGTTTGTTTCAGAAAATTTTTATTTAATACGTCGTTTTTGCGCAAAAATTTATAAAAAATTTCAAAACTCATTAAATTAAAAAAAAAATTTTTTTTGCAAATTAAACTTCGAAGAGTTAAACTCAAAAAGTTAAAACCAATAGACACTATGTATTATAACTAATTTTATAAATAAAATTAATTAAAAAAATTTTTAATTTAAGACTAGATTAATTTCAAGTAAGATTAATGATAAAGTTACTAAATTAATAATTTTAAGTAGATTTTAAACTAAGTTAAACAACCGTTTTATTTTACCATTTTAGTTGACAAAATGGGGAAAGATTGCTTTTTTCGAAGACTTTAATTTAAAAAAAAAATAATTCAAATTAATCATTTTATTATCATTTATTTTAAAAAGAAGGTTTTTTTATACTATTTATTTTATTTCATTTTTTTAATATGAGAGTAAAAGTTTCAAATACTTCGTTTTTTTCCAATTTTTCTCTATTTGTTATATTATATAATTCACACATACACAAGTATATTAAATGTTAATAATATCTTATACTTCCCGTTTAGAACTTTTCAAACCATGCATATCGTATCTAGATATTTGTACATTATAATTGTTAACAAAAATCTGAAATTAAAATGTTGTTAACTTACTTATTGTATAAACTGTTAAATATTTTAAGTTTACATTTAATCTCTTAAAAACTTTTATAGAAATTCAAAACATAATCCTGAGTCACATACCTAAAATATAAATAGCTAGGCATAATATATACGTCTCGGGAAGTTCTAAAAAGCAGAAATGTGATTATTAACGCCTGATATTGCATGTATACATATATATATATATAGATCTATGTCAATGAATTGTTTTTGTCATTACACGTTTTTGTTTCATAAGATCTTTGACATGCATCTGTGAAACCTTGAGATTTTATGGAATCCATTTTGAGAAACACTGCTATATGTATGTATATGCTATATATATAGTGTCCCATTTTATTTTAAACAGTCAAATATCTGGAAATCACGGGATTTTAGAAAAAAATGTTTCGTACAAAAGTTTTATGACTTCGAGGGGGACATAAGATGGTGCCATTGGTTTGTCCTTGGATAGTCGTTTGAAGATCATGTGAAGGTCACCTTCAATTTCTTAAATAGAAACCCCCATTTTTTATTGCATATTCTTGTAGCTTACCTTAAGAGCTTTTCAAAGCACTATGATAAAATATTTTTTTATTAAGCACTTTTCGAGTTATAAGGCTTGAAGCTTATAGTATTAACATTATCCACCGGCATTAGCATTACTCAAGGTGTACTGCGTGGAGATCCGACACAGTCGGATTTACACCTCTATTGTGTGTATGTGTGTATGTGTTTGTTGCGCTTGCACGCGTATGGAGACACAGACCTTACGACTCGTCACTTCCGCGGTATTTTGCAAACCATTCTCCAATCGCGTACCGTACAGCAACTGTATCGATAACTTCAGTGGGAGAATAATCTGGTATCAACTCTTCTTTAATCAGAGCGACCAGATCATAAAAATTTCGGTGTAACGTGCTTTTATCGATGAGTACGATGGTAATGGAAGAATTGTAATATGCGGTCGTAAGTTTAACTGTCAGAACGGTTTTTTAGAGAACAGAATTGTCTCACATCTGTCGGGACGATGCCAGATTACTTTCAGGTTGACGGTTGGAGAGCGGTTTGGAGTTAGAAAATACCGCGGAAGTGACGATATATATGTAGAGAGAAAAGTAGCCTAATTTGGACCAGTTTTTAATTTTTCTTTTGTACACAAACATAAAACATTGCAGGAAGGAAACAACTATGGAAATAAGACAAACATTATATATAATATATGTATAATAACTTTTTTACTCAAAATGTGTGATACCATTCGTAATGCATTGAATTATGCGCATTATATTTCAGAGAAACTGATATATATGATGTTTCTATTAGTAATGCACATTAATTGCATTTATTATGTTTCAAAAAGACTATATATGCACGCTCATACATCGTTGTATCATATTTGGTGAAATTTTAGAAGGCAAAGTGAATACTCACGCATGCGCGCGCATGTATGCAAAAACTACGTGTTATCGCTGATAACATGCAGAAGGACACGGATACGTATGCATACATAATGCGCGCTTATTGTAATGGAGCTTGATTGTCGACGAACAATATATGTATATGGTACGTCCCGAAAAGACCGAGTAAAGACACTGATTTGCAAAGTTTTTTGTTATCTGGCAAAGAAGAATAGTTTTCCGTAATTTTTATGTGTTGAATCCGTTTTTAAAAAGTGTATAACGTATGGAGATTTTGAGAAATTTAGAGCAAAATATACAAAAAATAATACTTTAGACTACATTAACAATTCTATTCCAAGAAAAATTTTTTTTTAATAACTATTACAATATTTTAAAGTACTAGCTTTTTTCTATAAAATAAACAAATAAAATAAAATAATATAAAATAAAATAATATAAAAAAAGAGTTATTGCATTTGATCAGCATGAGGCAATGCTAACTCAGGTTAATAATGATGAAAATGATAGTTATTATGAGCAATATACTATATATTCTTTATATGCAAAGAAAGCAAATAAAACTGCAATGGCTTTATATCAAATGTTAAAAGTTCACAAATTACTCCTAGATAATCGTGAAAAATATTTTTTTTTATTATGTTTTCCAGATTTATATCCTAATGATATTAATGGACAAAACAAAATTAGACAGGTCAAGTTTTATGATCATAAATTTATTAAATGTCGTTTGATGTCTAAACATCCACAGTTCAGATTAAATCAGCAATATATATTTTATTTGTTACACAATATGTGTCAGTTAAATCAAGGAATTTATCATAAAATGAATGTAACTAATCCCCAAGTTTGTTATACGGCTGCGGAATATTTAGAAGCAATATCTAAAGAATTGTCTAAAGAATTCTTAGAATCTAATTTGAGTACAATATTTTTCACACTAAGGAATACGGAACAATTCTGGCGTAAACCGAAAAGTGATTTAAATTGTATGACACAACATTACGGACCTGCAACATGATTTCTGATATTACATTCAAGCAAACAAAAGAATTAATTTTTATTATGTTACTTATGTTTATTATGTTATGTTTATTATGTTTTATTATGTTGTCGGGAATCTTACCTTAATACTTTTATGCACAAAATAATGAGACGAATTAATTGGTATAAAGAAAACATATAGTTGCTTTTAAGAAAAAATATGTAAT